AAGAAATGGTAAGGATTATTTTATTCAACTTTGTTCGTTATTCTTTTTTAATTTGACCAGAGACAGAGAGAAAGTGAGAGAGCAAGCTGCCAGGTCCAGACTTGAACCACAATCAGCCATGTTCAAGCGCTCCCATCATCTGCTGGCTCCAAGATATTGTACTTCTATTTTTCTTTTTCAAAGAATTTTTTATTTAATTTTGTTGTCATTATTTTATGTTATCACAGTTGATCATAGAGAGAGAGCAAGAAGGAAGGTAAAGCAAGCTGCGAGGTCTGGGACACGACTGCGGTCCGCATTGTGGGAGTCCAACGCCTTAACCACCAGGCAGCCTGCTGGCCCCATTAGGTTGAGCTTCAGGGGAGACTTTGCAATAGGGCACGTTCAGAGAGAAAGCGAGAAATCCCCCCGGGGGGATGGCCAGGCCACAGTCCCCTCTCTTCCATTCTCCTCTCGGGATCTTGAGCACACACACACTCGCACTCAGCATGAGTTTTAAGCCGCAGGTTCCAGGAGTCGAACCGCAGTCGACCATGTGGGAGTTCAGTGACACAGCCATTATGCCATCTGCTGGTCCTCTTCAGAGCAGGATTTTTTTTTTAAAGTTTATTTTCTCATGAGAGAGAGAGAACCCCAACTGAGGGAGAAGTGGCCGACACCACCCACCCCCCCGTGCCTCAGCCAGGACTGGACCCTGGGCACACCTGCACAGCATACTCAGGGGGTCTCTGGACTGGAACCCAGAACCTTCGCAGGTGGGTCAACCTGGCAGAGGGTCATGAAGACCCCTGGAGCTTTCTTGTCGTCACTCCAGCCCTGACCCCTAATGAGAGCTGCTTAATTTCTTGAATTACGCTGAAGCTCCCGTGCCCCGGCTTCCCTACGGGATTCTGGAGAGGAGTGGGCGCCACAGCCCTGCGGCAGCCGGCGTCGAAGAAAACTACATCTCCCAGGAAACCTCGCGCGGACGCGAGCCGGCGTCACGCACGGCCCGCCGGGAGGCGGAGTGCGCGCGGGCGCCCCCGC